CTTTGTAATCGATTAAAAGTGCATGTAAAAAAAAACGTGCGGCCGCGTTTTTTTAATGGGCTGCTAAAATATAAAATGAAAATAAAAAAAAAAAAAAACGAAACAAAACAAAAAGTCAGGCGCATTAACAGGAAAATGTGCGCCTAAAAAAAAAAAACAGCCACAACAACAGCAGCAAAGCAGCATCAACAGCAACAACAAATTCATGGAAAAAAAAAAGCGCGAAAGACGAGAAAATATGACAAAATTTACGAGCGCTGCTCAGTCATAAAAAAAAAAACACACACACATACATGCACTCACACACACATATACATACGTCGAGTGAAAGAAAAAAAAAACACCCTGTGGTGGCGCTTGGTCTTGTTTTTAGTGCTTTGGCACGTAATGGGAAAAAAAAATATACACACACACACACACACACTCACATCCAGCACACACACACACACACAGAAAAAAAAATCAGTCAGCAGCTGCCTTTTGTAAATGTTGCTTCAGCTTTTGGTTCGGTTTGCCTTTGGTCTGCTTTCTTTTGGCATCATCAGCAGCAGCTCGAAGCCAAAGGAAGTTGGGAAAAAAAAAAATTGGGAGTCTGTCGCCAGCCGCACGGCGCTTGCCACTTGCCACTTGCCACTAAAAAAAAAACCACTTGCTGATGAGATGCGCTCACCAGCTCTCGCAGCTAATGCGACTCCTAAAAAAAAAATGCTCGAATGCCCAGCTCAGCTGGCAGCGTAATTAATCTACTTCATATTTATAAAAAAAAATACATGACCAAAGCTCGAATTGCACTGTGTCTTTGTTTCTGGCCAGGGCGAATTTAACCAACATTCATTCGTCTCTCCCGCTTATTCGTAATTTTTTGCTTTGTGTAATCAGAAATGTCAGTGGAGAAATGTTTTCAAAAACATTTTCCCGGGCTTAGGCTAATGCAATGGCCTTTAGTTATTTACTTACAGTACAGTAAAAAGAATTTCACGAAACTTGGGTAATTGATTGCCACCGCACTTTGTGGAGCTTGTCAGCAGCAGATTTCGCCATGAGAGCAACCGAAATTAGCAATTATATCTGTTGGCATAATTTTAATTAAAAACTGGAAACGGGAAACGAAAATGTACCTTAAACTGTTGAGCGAAAACGGTTTAATTTATGTTTAATAATTCAGTAATTTGCGAAATGTTAGAAATGCAGATCGACCCCTAATGAATGCCGGATATTTTTTTTACACATTGCAGGGACTCTAGCAATAATAGTTATAATGAGCAAACTAAAACCAACATATGATTAGATTAATGCATTTTTAAAGCATCTCATGAATATTTTCTATTATTTTTGTTTCATAATAAATTGGTAAAAAAAACGCGCAAAATCAATGCAATTAACACCAAATAAACTTAATGTTGAATTAAAATATAAATCATTATTTCATGGCATAAGTGTTATAATATATTATTTATGGGAAACAAATATTTGAAAATACAAATAATAAAAAAAAAAATTGTGTTGAATAATGGTTTTATTAAAATGAATACAAATAAAATATAAAACGAAAATATGAAATGGGAC